TTAAAACATAAGTTGTATCAGAAAACTACTGATGAGTATACCCCAAAATAAAGTACTGAGAAGGTGACTGCTTAAAACCTGCACAAGCAAAACTGTAGAGCACCTGTAAATGAGAAAGGCATCTACTTAAGGCAACAAACCAGGAAGGCACATATAAAGGAGGAAAAAGATTTAATTACACAAAATGAAAAATCTACAGATAAACGAAAAACTGAGAAATGCCTGGCAACTTTACTAATAAAATGTCAATGCTCCATCAACAAATCAGAAGGAAAAATAGGTTGGAAACCCAGCTAAGTTTGGTGAAATGGTTAGAGTACCTGGGTTAGAGCACCAGCTTGTCATAAAAGCGGGGTGTGGTGGCGCACACCTGCTTTTCCATCTCAGAAGAGATGCAGGAAAACCAGAAGCTCAGTCACCCTCTCCTAAAGAGTAAGCTATATGCCAAGTGGGGACCCTGTGTAAGAACAGAGAGAGACCAAGGGAAGGGAGAGAGGGAGGGAGAGAAGGAGAGAGACCACACAGGAAAATGTGTTCCAATCACCTTGTAATCCCAGCACTCAGGTGTCACAGCCTGGAGGATGGAGAGTTCTAGGCCATCCAACTACCCAGACTATCAAGAAGGGGAGGAGAAGGGAAGGAGGGATGCACATGTCCCTCTGGGGAGAATTTTCTAAACAGTTGCTTCCTTCTGTTTCTTCTTCAGCCCTTCTGTGTGCACGTGCTTCTCGGGCCTCGCTAATTCCCCCAGCTCCCCAGAACTAACTCATCTCAGTGTCACCAAACTCAACATTTCTGTGGGTTCTTCTCTTTTTGGCCAAGCTATGGGTCAGCTGCCACTCCACCATTCCACTGGCTCCCACTCCACCATTCCACCTCTTTCGTTTTTTGAGACAGGGTCTTAGATGGTTCGAACTATGACTATGTAGCCAAGGATGAATTTGACAAGTGTTTCCCAAGTCTCCTGCTTCTATCTCCTAAATATCAGGATGACAGGCAGGCACAACCACACTTGGTTTAATGTAGTGCTTGGATCAAGCCCAGGTCTTTGTGCACACTGGGCAAGAACTTCACCAGCTGAACTACATCCTCAGCTTCAATGCCCAAAAGTACACAGCTAAAATAATTTTGCAATATTCTTAAAAACAAGACCTGACGGGGCTTGTTCACTGTAAGGGGAAAAAAAATGCAAACAGCTCTACATTCCAAATGTGCAGAGTCAATCCTGAACTGTGGACATAACCCGGCAGGAAGGCGGCTGCAAGAGCGGCTGCAGAGCGGGTATGATCCCCTGCACTGCCAAAAACAGCTGGCGTGCATGGAAGGAACAACAGCTCAAAAACAACAACCATGGCTTAAAGAGCGCTTTCTGCGAGTCCTGTACACATACAGTGTAAACAAATGAGCAGCCCAGACGTTACCTGGTTAAATTCTCTCCCACAAGTACCTTTACATAAGGATCAGCACACAATGGCAGTCTATCACTAACCAAAAAAACCTGTTTCTCTTCCTCCAACAGCCCTATGTAACAACTGAAAAGGGCCACCGGCAAGACTTTCCATGTTGGGGAAAAAGGGGTTCAAACCATGAGACAGGCACTCTTAGTTGGTCTCCAGTCAAACCAGACTGTCATTGCTTTTAAAAACTAGAAAAATCTACTTTAAAAACTGAAAAAACTCAAATTGCATGCTTCTTCTAAAAGGAAACACTTTCCGTCAAAATCAAGTTTAACAGACTACTTAGTCTGTTACTACACGCACACTTGAAAAGAGAGGGTTATTCATACACTGAACACATTTGAAGGTTCAGCCTTCACTGGGAAGTAGCCCTGTTAGGAGGAATACGGCCTTTCGAAAAAGCTAATGAAAAGACGGTTTTCTTCGGGGGTAGTTTTTGTTGCTGAGACAAAATCCCGTGTGACCCAGTCTGGTCCCAAACGCAGTATGCAGCAAGGACAACCTCACTCTTCTGATCCTCCTACATCTACCTCTCAAGTGGTGGGGTTCCAATGTCCCACACAGCAGGTTTATGCAGCTGGGGATGCACCCTATGGCCTCAGGCACACTAGGAAAGCACTGCACCAACCGGGTAGTGTATCCCAGCCCAAAAAACATTTTTCAAATGCAAGGCCTCCTTTATTTCCCAATATAAGGGAAGGGGAGTCCGCTTTCTAATCATGTATGGGATTGTTATCAACTTATTTATTAACTATCCTTGCTAGTGATTCATCTTTGTCTCATCAACGTTAATAAGCAGCTGGCTGGAATAATAATCACCAGTTTAGATTATTGTTAATAAACATATAATCTTAATGGCTGACTCAGAGAACAGAAAATGGTACAGTTTAGAGCACTGAGGTTGTCCTTAGGAGGCTCGGAGGGCGTTTCTGTTGACTATGAAGCACTAATGGCATGTAGTTATTTGTGTCTTTCCTCAGTAAAACTTCTTAAATTTTAAAAGATATTAGTTAGAATGTCTTCAAGAAAGTTTAGACAGAAAAATCTTATGCATACTTTCGTGTTTTCTTTTTTAAATAATTGGAGCAATAAATAAGAAAATCCCTACAGAATACCCGTATTTCAAGAGTTCAACACACTGACTTCTTTCCAAAGAAATACTGGACATTTACTTGTCAAACTATTAAAAATACGGGGAAAATGAAAAAGCATTAATCCCTTCCTCTTTCACTGAGTCACTGTGGCTAAGTATAGTAAGTAAAAAACTAAAAACAATAGCTAAACAACCGAAATCTGAGATACACAGGAGACAGGATGTATACAGTATAAGAATTACATACACTGTAATTTTCATCTTTCAGTGGAAGTAATCAACAAATGCTATCTAGAGATGATACCTCAAAAAACATAAATACAACTTTCTGGCGATTTATTTCTATTTATGTACAAGTGTGTCACATGTATGGGGGTGCCACAGTGGCCAGAACAGGGTAGTGGGTCCAATGGAACTAGAGTTACAGAAAATTGAGAGCTACCTGATAAAGATACTTCACACCCAAAGCTGGAGAAATGGCTCAGCGTTTAAGAGCACTGGCTACCATTCCAGAGGATCAGGGTTCAATTTCCAGCATTCACATGGCAGCTCACAAATGTCTTTAATTCCAGCTTCAGAGGACCTGATACTGTCACACCAATGTACACAGAATTAAATAATTTATTTTTAAAAATAAATAAACAAAAAGGCACTTCAAACCTAATTTGGGTCCTCTGGAAGAACAGCGAGTGCTCTTAGTGGCTGAGCCAGCTCTCCAGACCCATAAATGCAACTTTTAGAACAATAAATGCAACCTTCAGAAGAACCACAAATTATCCATCAACAGTAGAGCCCGTGGAGACAGAGAGGGAAAGCCACACTTTATTCTGCACCTGTACGCAACGTGTGCTTTCCTATTATGAACATGGATTCATACTGACTCTAGTTTGTTACCCTATCAATAATCAGACAATTCCTTTAAAATCCACTGCATTTCACCCTCTACACCTAATAGCCATGGGCTGCCAACTTTGAAAATAGAACACACTTTAAAGCAGTGTTTCTCAACCTGTGGGTCACAACCCCTTTCAAGGCTACAGGACCCTTTCATAGGGGTTATATAAGACCATCAGAAAACACAGATGTTTACATTACAATGCATAACAATAGAAAAATTAAAGTTGCGAAGGAGCAATGAAAATAATTGTATGGTTGGGGATCACCACATGAAGAACTGTATTAAAGGGCCACAGCATTAGGAAGGATGAGAATCAGTGTTCTAAAGTAAAATATCTCTCAAATTATCAGAAAGTTGTAGGGTTTGTTCTTGGAAGGGGGGGGGGCTGTGGTTCTTTCGATCTTGCAAAATGGCTAAAGCAGTTATTATGGAAACTACCAACTTCTCAAAAATTCAAAGAAAAAGTACAGTAAAATGTGTTGGGGGTGGGATGGGTTTAAAGTCAAAACCTCTGTTACCTATGCTTTAACAAAAACAACAATGTCTACTATAAGGTCCTACAAATTAGTCCTGAAGTCAGTCGACCTTACCGAGGCTGAATGATAACAAGCCTAAGGCCTTCCATGGAAGACTTGTGGAGCTCCAGTTCTCTTTGAAATGAAGAGAGAGCGACCTGAAGGTCTGCTATCTTCACTGACCCTCAGGAATGTACAGGCACGCATAGTACTTCGAACCAGGTGGTACTTGAAATTTGCAAAAGCAATTTAGTTCTGCCTAGACAAGAAGTTGAGCTTTCTGTGAATCCCTACTCTCCAGTCTCCATGTCCACGCTAACCTTTCACCTCACCAGTGCTCCGAAATGATCTCAAGGAAGGGAAGAGCTTTACAAGACACGCTAGACAATTATTTGACACAGTGATCTCAGAACTGGATTACGTTCTGGCAGTTTGAACGTTTGGTAATCAAGTGAGTAACGCTCACAGGATTTAAAGCTGTCTTCTCGCCTTTCGATACCTCGCCCTAACTCAGCGCTTCCGAAATGTGGACCAGCACATTTCCCACTTAATTCTGACCGTATCTAAGGAGCCGGTGCACATCCTTAAAAAAAGCATCGACTTCAGTACTAAGTTTATCTCTTATACTGGCTGGATGACCGTAGTCCAGATTCACTTCAGGAACTCTCCCACTGCGAAGGAGATACAAATCTGATTTCAAAAATCGGAGGCTTCAGGCCTATCGGTAATGGGAAGAGCCAGCTAACTGGAGCAGTTCAGGCTTCCGAAACGACAGCAGCCGGTGAACAGAAGGTTCCCTCGAAATCCTCAATCCACCCAGTCCAGACACAGTTGCAAATCTCCCGGTCAGCTGATTTGTTCTCCCCTCCGGTTGCACCTACTCTTCGCCGCCGCCGACTCCTTGGCGACCTACACTCATTGGTCCCGGGTGCCACCAACCGCGCCCCTCGCCGCCCCCGGGATCGCTCGAGCCCCATCGCTAAGACCCTGGCCGCCAACCCGGGCCGAGGCCGCCCACGCCCCGCGCGGCCACTCACCCGCGGTAGTAGGCTTTCACCCGGACCTGGTGGGAATGGTCCCCGCCGCCGCCGCCCGCAACTGTGTGGGACATGGTGCTGCTGTCCCTCTGGGTCGGCATCTCCTCACTCCCCCGCCTCGCCGCCGGAGGCCGAGGGGGCCGGGGCAGTGCCGGACGCCGCGAGGGACTTGGCCGCCCGAGCCTGTCGGGAAGCCGTGGCCGCCCGCCTGGCCGACCTGCCCGCCTGGCCGACCTGCCCGCCTAGCCCGCGGCGCTGAGCGAAGGGGCGCCTCGCCGCCACAGCCCGCACCCCGACGCTCCTCCCGCCGCGCTGCACAACACGCCTCCCGCCGCGGCTCCTCCCACCACGCTCGCTCCCGAGGCCGCATTCCGCGGCAGGGCGGGCGCCGGAGCTGCAGAGCCCGGCGCGTTCATCCTCACGGGGGAAGGAACGGGATCCGCCGGCCTACCGCCAGACGCTCTCAAATGGGGAGCGTTTGGAATTTCACCATAAATTCTAATATGAAGCTTTTAAACGGAAATATCCCTATGGAAAAACCTATAGGGCACACACGCTCAGGGTTGATCCCCCCATTCTTGTACTTGGTCGCGTCCGCGGCTAGTCGGCTATGCTTCCTGGATGATTTGCTGCGTGGGTTTCTGGGATTTGGAGTCCCTGTGGGATTCTGGGACTTGTTTCTTAAGTATAGGGAGCCACGTTTTTTTCTGTATCTCGTGCTTGCCGAGATTGTAGGCATGGAAGTACTAAAAACAGCCTGAGTATCTGAGGGCACTGGAAACATGGCTTCTTCGCAACTTGAATTCTGTTTTCTGGTCAATTCTTCTTGCCAATTTCATCGATCACTAAAATTAAACAGTGTTGTTTGGAGGAATAAGATTTAACGACCTACTCAGAACATTTTTTTTTTTTTTTATCGAAAGAGGGTTTCTCTGTAGCTTTGGAGCCTGTCCTGGAACTCGCTCTATGGACCTGGCTGGCCTCGACCTCACAGAGATCACTTGCCTCTGCCTCCTGAGTTCTGAGATAAAAGGTTCGTGCCCCCATGGCTGGGCAAGAAAATCTTGAATACAGTCACATCATCTTCACACGCCCTCCAGGAAGACAACCATGCCATCTGGACGCATGTTTTCACCAATAAAAAATGGTGGTTACTGAAATCAGCAAGGATGTGCTTAATCTGCTCTGCAGCTCCTTTGAGTGATTTCGTGTAATCTTTGCTGTGATTTTTGTCGCCTCTTTGGTAGAGCCGTTTCTTCTAAGCGATGGCTCATGACATCAACACGGGTGAACTCACATGTGTAGTAACTTTTAAAACAAGGAAATGAAGCTGGATATGGTGGCACACATCTGCAATTCTAGCACCTGTGAGTGGAGGCAACAAGTAATCAATAGTTCAAGGCCATCCTCAGCTACACAGTGAGTCCCAGGACACATAAGGAGGCCATATGGACCATGGACACCTTTGGAGGAGGCCCAATCCAGAAAATGAACCATTCTACATCTTAGTCAGCCTGTCGTTGCTCAGAGCCAGGGTAATGGTGCCCAAATGAGCTCCAGACTGCTGCGCACCCTGAGTGTCCTACTTGGCAACAATGTGCTCTCTGGTCCACCTCGGCCTCCTCCCACAGCCGTCACTGCCATTGCCTCTCTAGTTCCACCTCTTTCCACCACGCATGTGCACTCCATTCCCCCTTCTTTCCCTCCTCTCCATCGCGTATTTGTGGCATTGCAAACTGCAGTGTGTCACACAGTATATTTTTTTTTGCCAAACAAATTTACCTGCAAATACTCATTGCAACGAGTCATCGGTAAGGTTCAGGGTTTCTGAATACTGTCAGTTTTGGTCTAGCACTAGGACTCATCTTGGCTATCCTGCAATTGCCCAGAGTCAGGGTGATCTTGGCTAGGCAGGGCGACTGATCTGGGTACGATGCTCACAAACTCCAGGCTATTGCACACCTTCCCGTCCTTGGTACCCTGCCCTGAGGCTCTCGGAGGCCCTGTGCCATACCCTTTGTCACAGAGTTTCTAGTTTCAACAGTCTGTACCAAGTGCCCAGCTTTGCTCAGTCATCTTTCCTTCCAATTTCATGAGTCCACTTTTTAAAAGCATCTTCCCATAAGACCTGCCTTTTTGCCAGGCAGTAGTGGTGCACGCCCTTAATCCCAGTACTCGGGAGGCAGAGGCTGGTGAGTTTGAGGCCAGTCTATTCTATGAAGTGAATTCCAGGACAGCCAGAGCTATTACACAAAGAAACCCTGTCTCAAAAGAAAGGAAGGAAGGAAGAAAGGGAGGGAGGGAGGGAGGGAGGGAGGGAGGGAGGGAAAGGAAGGGAAAGGAAGGAGAAGCAAAGAAGCCTTCCTTTTTTTTTTTTTGACTCTCCCACTGATGGACTTTTATATTCATTCTGAGTTAGCTTCACCCCTGTGTGCCCTTCAGATGGGATCAAATGTGGAAAAGTGTTTGCTCTGCCCTTCAGGTGGTCGTGAAAATCTGCCACTAGATCTTCACTATCTGTGTCTCAAATGAGACAACATGGGAAGCCTCCCAGTCCATTTTTCCTGTTTCCTAATGTTATAGACCCTTAGTAATACCTCTGCTTTGTGCTTGAGGGATGTTATAGACCCTTAGTAATACCTCTGCTTTGTGCTTGAGGGATGTTATAGACCCTTAGTAATACCTCTGCTTTGTGCTTGAGGAATGTTATAGACCCTTAGTAATACCTCTGCTTTGTGCTTAAGGCACAGTGCGACAGTAGAGCGCTTGCCTGGAGTGCATGAGGCTCTGAGTTCATTTCCCTGTACTGAGGGAAGAAATCAATATCCTCAACTTGGCATAAGCCTCCGCCCTCTGCAATTTCACTGAAACTGGGACAACATCATTAAAAGGAGAGAAAACTATTCAGACTGGAAACCCTGGCCATTTGGAGGGTTTTATTGCCTTATCGAGATAAGCATTGGCAGCTGGACTCAGCATACTTGCCTCTGACTGCTTGTAATACCTGTAATAGAAAATCAAATTCGTGCTAAAAACCCATATGTTTAAGAGACTTAAAAGTATTATTTGCAAATGTTCTCTCATTTTGCAGCCATCAGAGAGCTTGTCCCATTCCGGAGCGAGGCAATAGCCTGTCTGGAGAACGGTAAGTGAGAGAACAAGTGGTAGACACAGACTCCGTGGTCATGCTTTAATATCACGTCATTTTACTTAAGCTTTGCGTGTGGGGGTTGGGTGTGTGTGCATCATTGTATGTGCATGCAGTAAGGAGGCCGCTTGTTGTTTCCCGGATACTCAGCCCCGAAATAATGACACAGAAACTGTATCAACTAAATCACTACTTGGCCCATTAACTCTAGCTTCTTATTGGCTAACTCTTATTTTAATTTAACCCATTT